TAAAACTGTTAATGAAATATGTACCAGTAACATACACAAATACGTACAGTATATATATATTTTTTGAACCGTAACACAGCTGGTTATAAAAGAATACAGTAACCTACCAGGAACAGATCACTATCTTCATTCCTCCTGTGCACTAAAACCAGTAAAGTCGTATTCTTCAGGGTCAGAATTGAACATCCTTAAAAAAAAACTATCACACACGCCCTCAGTCTCTCTTTCAAAGAAAAACTACATTTCCTCCGCTCCCCAGTGGACCAATGAAACCAAGTTCCACTGGTCCACTGTGACCTGTTCTGTAACTTAATTGGTTAGATTTTTTAAAAACTTTTATTTATACGGATAGTCTTAATGAATCACGAGGACTCAGCCCCAAGAGAGACATGTACAGGGCAGCTGTGTGAGTGCACGGGTGTTACGAGGCTAAATGTTTTGGCGGCAAGAAGCTCATTAGCCCGCCAAAAAAAAAAAAAAAAAATCCATAAATTAGCTGCAGCATTGTATAAGCCGGTGATCAAATTGTGTGAAAAAAGTAGCGGTTTATAGTCCGGAAATTACGGTAATTCCCTCCACTTCCATTTTATTCTGCATCCAAACAGGACACAACACTTTGGTGCTCACAGTACGCTTCCATTATGATAGTCATCAGTTTTAGCTTCATTGTCATCATCACCTTTAGCTCTCGGCAGATTAAAAACTGGAGATAAAACACAATAATATCCAATATAAACTATTAACCAAATATTTACCACAGAAACAATCAACAGAAAGAAAAATAGCATGAAAGAAATCATCAGTGCTGACTAAATACAACTAACACTTTACAAAAATGCAAATGTTGATTTCATTTTCATATTTGTGCTTGTTCCTCTCACAATGTTCTAGGATGGGCGTGATTTTGTGTTGTTAGATTCATCATGTTGGATTTATTTATTTACGTTTTACCTGGACTCTTTCTTTCAAGCACATAGGAGGGAGGATAAGCACTGCAGGGAGCTTAATGGCAGTTGTTGGCTGGGGGAGGTAGAGGGGTCACACTGCAGGGCCACACGACAAAAACAACCCCAACACACAAAGACGTGGAGTGTTCGACAAGTGCACTTACACAATGAACAAAAGTGTGCCACAAAAGAAAAGACGGGACGTTTTGTGCATGAGTGTGACAATACGTGCAGGCCGAAGGAGAAAATAAGTGTGGGTGAAAAATCTTTCCTTGCAGGGGAAAGCAATTTACCACACGAGTGACTTTGGAAACATCTAAAAAAACTGACTTTTTTGTAAACTAAATAGTTGATTTCTGCTTTTGACTCATTAAATTAACAAGAAAACCTTTGATAATGGCAAACACAATGAAACCAGGCTTCCTTTCTTTATACGTGTGCACATATATGTAATATGTATATGTGTTCTCAATCAGAGGGGCCTAAAGGAGCAAGACAAAGTGCAACTGTTAAAAGAGGAGTTATGGGAATTGCATGAGGTATGTAAAGTCGAGGGAGGTTGATAGCTTTAATAAACAGGCCTCCCTCCATGAGGTTAGTCCTGAATTCTTCAGCTGCCTCGTAATGTTGAACTAAGGTAATCAAATTGTGCAGTCGGTAAGATAACATCATGATGTACTGAATCTTTCCTCAAACCAGTCAAGAGTTGGCCTGTGTCAGGCCTGGAGCTTCGTTCCTGCACTTAATTCAATTACATTCCCAATTTGTTAAATGGTCTGCTTGCATGTGTGTGTGTGGTTAGCAAAGGGTCAAAAGGAGCTGGTTGAATGAGTAGCTCCCTCTCAGGGCCGATGTGTCTGCAGTAATCTTCTCAGGGGCACATTAGAGGGCCGGGCATGTACTTTGCTTAATCAGGCATGTTTAGCGAAACACCAGAAGAGATGCGGCGCGAGGACACGGCCGAGTGGGCTCACGGGTCGAGATGGAGAGGCCTCATTCACACACAGAAACGGCAGCACTCAGGCCATGGCAGGGGGAGATGATGGTGGGGACAGACACAGGCACCATATCCTCAACACTAATGACCTGCTTTAGGGTGGGAACGTGTAAAGACTACACGGTACTGACGTGGTTTAATGTACTGTGGTAACATCGTGTTCGCCTGCCTGACCTCCTCGTCTTATCTGACCTCTTTCATTGTCTTGTCCCGTATATTCCTCCCACTGGCTGTGTGCAACTTTTATCTTGAGCTTGCACAAAAAAAAACCCCACAAGTGTAGTTTTGAATATCTTAATAGATTTTAATGCACCTTCAATTTCTCTAATCAGAAAACAGATTGCTGCTTGAATTCTGAGATTTGTGCAGCTTTATCCAAGAGAAGGTTTTATGGCTGCTTTAGCGTCATGGACTAACTTGTCTTTACTCTCGTATCTGAAAACACACCTGCATTGTGGGAGGTTAAGGCTGGACTTCCTCTCATTGCTACTGCTTTTGTCAAAATCTTGTAAAAATGTTGTGGTTCTTGCACCTTTTCACAGCAACTGACCTTTTCTTATAAACAGGTAGTTTTGCCTAATGTAAAAAAAAAAGGAGAATCACTTGATGCTGTTACATTTTCTGTGAATGCAACCGTCGCCCAGTTGGATAGAAAACGTCACAAATCTCTGTTGATTTTTATTTATTTTTTTCACCAAAAGAAGCTAGCAGGCATATCCCCCTGGATGAACCAGACCTCCATTAAAGGTTGCCATTTTTAAGGCAGAGGCTTTTCAATTGGAAGAGTTTGTTTCTTGTGGGGAAGAAGGGATGTGAAAATAAGCAAAAAGAGCACGAAGCTTGAAACAGGCAGCTACTATTTCTGGAGTATTTGCTTTTATCTTTGTAATTGGGTCCAGCCTTCAATGACACATTGCCCAGTAAGTAAATCTGGCTCAGGTCAAGTATATGTGTTTCATTATAAAATACCATCACAGTGTCACAGGGTTGGATTTAAATTTATTGAAAATTTACCGGTGATCTTGCATTTACGTCATCTTGGTACATTCAAGTCTGCAATTTTGACTAGGAACTCCAACGCTTGCTTTGATTACCCAATCTTTAATGATCAGTTAACAGTAGAAGAAAGCATACAAAAGTTGTAATTACCAGTATCAGTACTCAAAACCAATACTTTTTACAATGACATATAGTCCAGCTGCTGCAAGATAAAAAAAACGGGTGCTGTGAAAGAACATCTATACTCTTCTAAATAAAACTTGATGGTTTGTTTCATCTTAATGGCAAAATCTAGCAACAGAAGTGAGACTCGGCGTCTTCATTTCAGCAACACTTTATGTACAATTTAAAGCTGTAACTACATTGTACAGCACAGACTGTTCCCACACACACCTCTCATGTTGTTACCAACTATTTGTAAATGTTGGGCAGAAACTGTTGGAGAACACAAAGGAGAAGAAGGATGAGAATGAGAGCGAAATGGATCAAAGCTGGATTTTTTTCTTGCACTCAGTGTGAGTAACACATTGATGTATACGAGCCCTCTCTTGCACAAGCTGGCAAACACACAAAAAACCACCACCACCTTTATGAATCCATGACCCAGATGAATTAAAGCTGAGCATATCTACATTAGAATCACAGATGGTTGAAAGCTGACAAAAACAGGAAAAAAATCAGATAATGTAGTGAAAGAAAAACTCCACACCCACATCTGTTTTCTTTTTCCAGTTTGTTTTGTTCTTGGGAAATACACTTAATAAAAGGGACAAAACCACCAGGGATGACTACGGAAACAGCTGTGCCCCAACGTTGACCCCTACCCCCCCATTCTCATCCTGGTTTCAGCAGCTCCTCTGTGCAACAAGTGATCTGCCACAGTGAGGCGGTTAAGCTCGGTTTGTATATTTTACGTGACGGCGACGGCGCTGCTGTCTTCCTCATTGAAATTCTGCTTTTCTGTGTCGGCGGGCGAGGCCTCCGACTCCGAGCTGCTATTTGTTTCTTCCTGCTTCTGGGGCACAAAGAGGCTCAGTGTCGGGCAGAGGAGACTGAATGGAGCTCCCAAGTGGCCGAGCCTCGCAGCCTTGGTCAGATTGCCAGACTGCCAGGGCTCACGTTCCCTTCGTCAAATGGGGCCCAGGGAGGCCTCGGGTCAAGTCGGGACAAAAGAACCGGCGGGGATATTGTCCTTTTTCCAGAAACTCACTTTATCAGACATCTATATGCTTTAATCACCATTAATATAACAATTATTTTTTTTTATAAAAATATCAAATGAAATTGGCTTTCTCTTCATTGTCATTTGTTTTCAGCTAATTATTGCTTTCTGTTGCTTTGTTGCGGCTCTGTAGAAGCCTGAGCCCTAATCGTTCAAACCTTTAAAACCTTTGATTGATAAACGTACAGAGCTTCAAGTAGACACAATAAAATCTCTTCTCTATAAACAATGATTTCACCAACTTCATTATTACTTCACAGTTAACACAGGACGCTGGTTGGGGTTGTTGTGGCCACACACATTCGCACTCACATACTGCATGATGATTGTTGCTGTTTTAGACGGTGCCCTCGGGCACAGCTAGAACAGTTTTGTCTCATCTAAAATCCAACATGAAAGCACATTGTCTGCTGGATACCACTGGCACGAGAAATCAAATGAGAAAGAACAAATCACTCTCGAAGATCAGTTGTCAAAATAGTGAAGAAATGGTGGAGGGAGACCTTTCACATTTGGCGCTGCAAGCAAAGGTCTTTAAAAAAATCTTCCAACTGTCTTTAAAAGATTCCTCTTTAGTTTTGACCCCTCTCTTTACTGTGTCATTTGTCCTGTGGTGATTCGTGGGCGGCACCGAGGACAGAGCAGAGGGGGACGCTGCAGGTTATGAACAGAGAAACGTCTCCAGTTTGAGATTTTTCTCTTTTCTTTCAATCCTTTGTTTCTTATTTCTTCCTGTCGCTCACTTCGGTAATCTGAACGAACATTGAATGACAGTGAGAGAGGACAGAAAGGGTAAGGTTAAACCAGGATAGTGAGTCTGCAGAGTCTTCTGTTCGTGCAAACGGGGTTTTCAGAGAGAGCCCACCTACGTCATCTCACTGGCCACTGGGGGTGTGCTCTCCCATGTTCTTCCCCAGAAGATGGCCGAACTCAGCCAGATCTCCCAGCCCCCGAGGCCCGTGCATATCAGGCCTGATGAGGCCCTGGCGCTGAGAGTGATAGGGCACTCCATTGTTGCAGTTGTAGTTGAGTGCCTCGTGACTCCAGCGAGGCTCCCCGTAGTCCATGTGTGGAGTGGGTGCAGACACCACTCTGCGCCGATCGGGCGATTCCTGTGGTGTGGCGGGGTAGATGTACTCCCCTGCTGAGTTCCTCAGGTTGCCAGAGGGACGGCTGCCACCGTGCTCCCCTCGCTGTGTGGCCAAAATCAGGTAACGCTGGCGATCTGTGTGTGGGGGCAGCACCACCTCTCCAGGGTCCTCTATTCGGACTACCCCTCCACCTCCATGCAAGAACTTGGAGCTCAGGTAGATGACAGCATTGTTGGGACAGGGGGTTCCTACAGAGGCGAGGAATGTCTGACTCTGGTCCCAGTCTGTGTCCGAGAGACACATGACTCGTTTCTGCTGCAACGGGGTCTGCTCAGGAGTAGGAAGTAAGCCTGGATCCATCTCTCCCTTGGGCCAGCCGTTGGGCATCACAAAGAGGTTATCTGCCTGAGAACGACGTCTCTCGCCTCCACTGGTTCTTGTTACACTCATCACCGACCCGCTACGGCCCTGGCCCAGCATGCTCTGCTCTTTGTCATTTTTGCGCCGGCTGCCGTTGGCTCCAGTGCCCCGGGAGTGGCGATGGCGATGGCTCATGATCCAGCAGACGGTGAGACCAGAGAGGATAGCTCCCGTGGAGAAAGCTGAAACTGCAGACACCACCAGCAGGTTTACAGACACCAGGCCGTCGGGCTCCTCGACGAAACTCTCCTGCAGCAGCATGCCTACAGATACAATCACAGAAAGTGGGGTCATGAGTCAACTGCTGCAACCATCTTAATGGCATAAGTACTTCCTGCATTTAGCATGTGCGAGTTACTATACAACCAAACAAAATTACTTCTTTTCTCTCTGCTCTTTGTGGGTGGGAATGGGAATATGCTCTCCAGCCAAGGTAGCTGTGTTTAATTGGTTTCATTACATTAAGTGGATGGTGATTTTAATGACTATAATAACTGTCTTCCTGATAGAGAATAGCCCTCCACTGTAACACGTTTCACAACATTAGCTTTACAGGGAGAGAAACTGACTAGAATTAATGCTGAGTAGTAATCACATGTTTTCATGCCATGACATTCTTTTTTTCATTTACAGTCTGTAAACTACGGTGTAGAACATCGCATTATGGATTAACATAAATCGCTTCGAACATCGCAACATTATGATATCTCCATAACTGCACTTGAGACAGTTTCACTTAAATAAAAATATGTCAGTTTAGAAAATCTACAGGAATATAAAATGACTTGTTTTTTTTTCTACATTTTAGCCTGAACAGATTTTCTTGTCATTAAGCCAAACTTTTACAAGGCTGAACATACAGCTGCGTTGCCAGGTAAACTGCACTACCATATTTTTTGGACTATAAGGCGCAATATCAATGAGTGGGTCTGTTTTCATACATAAGGTGCTTTAAGTGAAACTAAAGAGTCAGATAAGTCAAACTTTATTCAGCTCATTCACAATAACCACAATAAATCTGTTCGAGGTCAGTAAGCACAACCAGAATTAATACACAAGTCGCACCTGATTATAAGGCTCACTGTCGATTTTTGAGAAAATTAAAGGACTTAAAGTGTGCCTTAATAGTCCAAAAAATATGGTGTATCTGCAAATAGAACTACAAAACTCTTGTATTTAAGTTTAAATCGAGTATGAACACAATAAGACTTCAGCACTGGTGAATCTATTAGAAAACTGACAGTGGAAAAGTAGTTTTTTGGGCTGGTGCGAGCTCTTGGGACCAACAGCAACAAATACAATGAACCGGTGCCAAGGGAGGCAAAATGAAGAAAAGCAGATGAAATGAAAGGAAGTTACAAAGAGAAAGAGGGAGAGAAAGACTGAGAGTGGCCCAAAGCAAACTCGAGCATTTGGGGCTTTAAACAAACAGTAGTAATGGTTGTTAAATTACAACCCTGATGGTGGAAGAGGGAGACCGTCTCCACAAGGACAGGAAGATAAATCCTTTTCCACAGAAAATAAATGGATACCATTAAAAAGGAGCTGGGAAATGCACTTACGCTCTGCACACAAAAGAAAAGAGGAAACAAATAGGATGGTGAATAAAAAAGGCAAGAAAACACACAAAGTATCAAACCTTATTTTATTATCTGACAAGATCTTTTTAAAAATGAGTACAAAGGGAGCTGGTTGTGGTGAAGATCCTCTGGTATGAGACGGCCCTGTGGATAATTAATGTGACCCGTGGCTTTGTTTAGTGAAGCGTTGTGGTGCATGTCGACATCACGCTGACGAATGGCAAATTAAACCCTGTGAAGGACCGATGAACTGCTGCGCCGCACCAGAGGTGATCTCCATACATGTTAAATGTTTAATATGCACAAACAGGAAGCTAGGAGGTAATGGTGATGATACTTTATTCTCTGAGCACAAACTTACCGTTCACCTAGGAGCTATAAGTATAATGAGAAATACACACAACAGGTGTAACGGCCGCCTGCAAAGGGAAGAAGCAGCTTTGAGAAATGTAAACCTTCTCCCTCCAGTAATTTACTGTAATTATCATAGCAGCACGAAGATGTACAGTAGTCCTGCTTAGCATCACAAAACACAGCTGCATGCTGCAGCCAGAGAGAGTCCTAAAACTAAAATAAATGTAAGATTAGTAAAAAATAAATAAATACAACTCGACTTGTGAAAGGAAAAAATAATAGAAAGCCAGCAGGATTTCAAATTGTACCTAATTTATACTTCACTGGTCTTGTTATAGTTACTGCTGCTCACGCTCAATGTCTGTATTTTGTGATACATATGCACATTTTGTGTCATCCAGTTCTAATGTTAAAAATATTTGTGTTATTTTTGATCAGGACGTCTTTTATCCCCCACATTAAAAACGTTACTAGAACCACCTTCTTCCACCTGTGTAATATTGTTAAAATTAGAAATATCTTGTCCAAAAATGATGCAGAAAAACTGGTTCATGCATTTGTCACGTCTAGACTGGACTATTGCAATGGTTTGTTATCTGGGTGTCCAAAAACTTCTTTAAAAAGTCTTCAGTTGATCCAAAATGCTGCTGCCAGAGTCTTAACTGGAGTTAGTGGGAGAGATCATATCTCTCCAGTTTTAGCTTCTCTCCATTGGCTCCCTGTCAAATCCAGAACTGAATTCAAAATCTTACTTCTAACCTACAAAGCTCTCAACAACCTGGCTCCATTTTATATTACAGAGTTTATTGTTAAATATTTTCCTAACAGAGCATTTCACTCTCAGACTGCAGGTTTACTTGTGGTTCCTAGAATTTACAAAAACAGAATGGGAGGAAGATCTTTCAGTTATCAGGCTCCTCTCTTGTGGAACCACTTCCTGTTTCTGTCCATGAGGCTGACACATTGTCCAGTTTTAAAACTTTCATTTTTGATAAATCCTATAGTTAGGGTTGGCTTGGTTTCCTGAGATATCCCTGAGTTATGCTGCTATAGGCTTTGATTGGAGAACAAATTGACCACATTTCCTCACTCTGCTGCCGTCATCACTTGCTCTACGCTACCTGTTTGTATTCGTAATTATTTCTATCATTAACATGCAAGATTTTTTTTTTAAACTTTCCTCCAATAGAAAATACATCTGGACCTGTCATTTTGTGTCTGTCTGTCTCTCCTTCTTGTCCTCTCCAACTCCAGCCAGTCGAAGCCGACTGCTTTTTGTCCTGAGCCTGGTCCGCTGGAGGTTTCTTCCTGTTAAAAGAGAGTTTTTCCTTTCCACTGTTGCCTTTGTGCTTCCTCAGGATGGGAGACTGCGACGACAAAGAGAAGATTCAACGCAATCTGCTGGCTTCCTTAGATGGAGAACTTTAAGTAATTATCTTTCTGTATGTGAATGTTTTTTGTATAGTGCACTGAGGCAGCTTTGTTGTGACTTGGCCCTATATAAATGAACTGAACTGAATTGAATGGATGCATTGTGGTCTAAATAGGTTTGTGCCTACTTCTGGTTCTTTAACATCTGATCAATTTGTATTTGCTGTTAGTGCATATTTGTTACCATCACAGAATATGGCTTTCTTATTCGATGAAATGTGGATAGAAATGATTGTTAAGTTTGATTTTTCATCTTTGTGTTCACTTGTATCAAAGGCTGGAGTGGACCCACACCTGTTCTAAACAGCGTTCATATCTACCTTTCTTTCAGCCATGCTCTATGATCATTTAGACACCTGGCAGCATTGCACATTGAGGATGTGTCGCTCTCACAACATAAAACATCAATTAAACTATTTACATATTTGTTTAAAAGTCAATAAAAAATAATATGTAAAGAACAAAACACTATGTTGATCGCTGAATTTGAATATCGACAATTGCCACAAACTTTTTTAAGCGGATGTGCTCAATTCTTTGCATGTACATAAGTAATTGTTAAAATATAAGGTATTAGGATGAATATTATTGAAAATAAAACAAAAACAAAGTAACTCTGGTGTTAAAAAAAAAAATCATTTTTCATCACTTTCATCAATGTTTTTGTTAAATAAAAAGAGGTCTGTTTTAGAGCTCTAAAGTTGTGTGAACCTGAGCAAAACCCCCAAAACTAAACTAAAAGTATGTAAAGCAAAACTAAATCATATCAGAGCGAGTTTAAATACGTAAATAAACAAACAAATTGGTAAATTTGTCTAGATGTTGGTTTCATTATTTAAATGTGAAATTCAGACACAAAAATAATTAATTAAAACAAAATTACATTCTTAAAATACACAAAATAAAATCAACAACAAAAATAAAAATAAAAGTTTTTCTGGAATTACAGAAAAAAAAAAGTTGTCTCTTTAATTTTTTTATTTATTTATTTGTGATGAAAGGCCTGAATTTTTGTTTCCATCCTGTCCACGTGTTAACATTTGTTAATTGGTAATACAAAGTAAAAAGAAAAAAATACGCTGGAAGCAGATCGTCTCGTAAAATGTTTACTTGCCTTCAGCCATAAAATCCAAAAACACTGGACCAATTTCAGCACTAATTAAGACTGAAGGGATGACTTTTATTGTTTGCCTTTATGAGAACATCAATATTTAGGCCAAAACTCATAAAACCTCCTTCAATTGTTGTTGATGAGTATTCATATAACGGTACATGACAACATAAATGATTAGTGGCGTGAACAAAATGAAGCTTGTCTGTATTTTTCCTGTATACAAGTTTGTTGCGGAGCTCCATTTCTTAATTTCAGCTGCATAAATGCCCTTTAATTGTCGAGCTAACAACAGACAGATGTTTATTAAGCCAATAACCAATCTGACATAAAAGATCCTCAACACTATGCACATCTATACCGCCAACAAGTTTTTGTTTCCATCGATCAAGACCTGCTGTTAATCAGCCGGTGGATCAATCTCCTTCCTGCTGCTAATTAGCCCTTTATCAAATCACTCAGTCAGAGTCTAGTGACACTCGGGCTGCACTGCATACTATGGGGCAGCTGTGGCTGAGTGGTTAGAGCAGTCGTCCTCCAATGCAAGAGTTGGGGGTTCAGCAGTCACATGATGAAGTGTCCCTGGGCAAGACACTGAACCCCCTCATTGCCTCCGGTGTGTGTCCCATCAGTGCATGAATGTGATAAAGCTCTGATAGAATGATTTGTTCTATTAGCTTTGCATAGATCTAGTAGAGTGCTGTATGAATGGGTAAATGAGGACACAGGTTGTAGTGTAAACCGTTTGGAGTGTCTTGATGAGATAAAGTCGCTATATAAGTACAGT